ACTATTTTGGTGATACCAGTTTCAGGGTTCATCCCCTTTCTCAGCCACCTCGTCAGTAGACTTATAACACATTAAAAATGTCAATATTTGGTTAGATTTTTAGACTTATTAGTGTTAATATTATCTGGAAATTGATGTGCCGTTTTTTGATCCTAAAATACTTGATTTTTGACCATTATTCTTGCTATACCACACGAAAATAGTATAAATAAAAATAAATAATTGGCTGAATGTTGAACTATCTAACCTAAAATTATTTTCATCTTTTGTAGACTTTGGCCTCACAGACTCGTAGAAAACAACTTTCAAACTTACAACCCAAGCTGAAATAAATTTAACAGCAGTTATTTTAATAACAAATAAGAGAAATAAACCTACGAGAAAAAGTCATAATTGTATTATTAATTGTGAAGTAACTATTAAAAAAAATCTAAAGATTGTGATGCCAAAAGTTACTTTAAATCAAATAATGGCTTTCATCCATAGAAACTTTTGGCCTCATAATTACATGACGAATAACTTTCGGACTCATGTGCTAACATACATTAAAGTACAAGGTACATGAATAAATCTAAAATCGGAAACCCAAAGTTTGGTCAAATCGAGGTAGTAAAATTCATGTGAATCAATATTCGATGCTAGGTATATATTCAGGCACACCCCCAAGTGTAAATATTCAGATTTTTTCCATAATACGAAACATTTTGTATGAAGTTAAGACAAAATTAGACTGTGAATGGTAGAAGAATCTGTAGACGCATTCATAAAAATATTTTTTTATTTAAAGTTAAAGTGATAATTTAAATTTTTTAAGTACTTGCTACTTATTAGACAAATATAAAATACGAGAGTTCGAAAGTTGCTATAAATGAGCTAATTATTTTGATATATGTGTTTCCATATTAGCGTGGGTATAAAGTTGGGTTATGTAGTTCTGCAATCAACCAATTATTTATTTTTATTTATACTATTTTGGTGATAGCAGTTTCAGGGTTCATCCCCTTTCTCAGCCACCTCGTCAGTAAACTTATAACACTTTAAAAAAGTCAATATTTGGTTAGATTTTTAGACTTATTAGTGTTAATATTATCTGGAAAATGATGTGCCGTTTTTTGATCCTAAAATACTTGATTTTTGACCATTATTCTTGCTATACGACACGAAAATATTATAAATAAAAATAAATAATTGGCTGAATGTTGAACTATCTAACCTAAAATTATTTTCATCTTTTGTAGACTTTGGCCTCACAGAATCGTAGAGAACAACTTCCAAACTTACAACCCAAGCTAAAATTAACTTAATAGCAGTTATTTTAATGACAAATAAGAGAAATAAACCTACAAGAAAAAGTCATAATTGTGTTATTAATTGTGAAGTAACTATTAAAAAAATCTAAAGATTGTGATGCCAAAAGTTACTTTAAATCAAATAATGGCTTTCATCCATAGAAACTTTTGGCCTTATAATTAAATGACGAATAACTTTCGGACTCATGTGCTAACATACAGTAAAGTACAAGGTACATGAATAAATCTAAAATCGGAGACCCAAAATTTGGACAAATCGAGGCAGTAAAATTCATGTGAATCAATATTCGGTGCTATATAATCAGGCACACCCCCAAGTGTAAAGATTCAGATTTTTTCAATAATACGAAACATTTTGTATGAAGTTAAGACAAAATTAGACTGTGAATGGTAGAAGTATCTGTAGACTCATTCATAAAAATATTTTTTTATTCAAAGTTAAAGTGATAATTTAAATTTTTTAAGTAGTATAAATAAAAACAAATAATTGGCTGAATGTTTAACCATCTAACCTAAAATTACTTTCTTCTTTTGTAGACTTTGGCCTCACAGAATCGTAGAAAACAACTTTCAAACTTACAACCCAAGCTAAAATTAACTTAATAGCAGTTATTTTAATAACAGATAAGAGAAATAAACCTAAAAGAAAAAGTCATAATTGTGTTATTAATTGTGAAGTAACTATTAAAAAAATCTAAAGATTGTGATGCCAAAAGTTACTTTAAATCAAATAATGGCTTTCATCCATAGAAACTTTTGGCCTCATAATTTCGGACTCATGTGCTAACATATCTTAAAGTACTAGGAACATGATTAAATCTAAAATCGGAAACCCAAAATTTGGTCAAATCGAGGCAGTAAAATTCATGTGAGGCAATATTCGGTGCTATATATTCAGGCACACCCCCAAGTGTAAAGATTCAGATTTTTTCCATAAGACGAAACATTTTCTATGAGGTTAAGACAAATATTGGTGGATTGAGAAATAAATCTAAGAAATAAATTCATAATGATGTTGTTAAGTGTAAAATACCTATGAAAAAAGATCTAAAGACTGTGATGCCAAAAGTTACTTTAAGTCAAATAATAGTTTTCATCCATAGCAACATTTAGCCTCATAATTGCATGTTAGGTAACTTTCGGACTCGTGCGCTTCGTATATGTGAAAACAGGTAATTAACCCATCATTCCGGGCACAATTTTGTTTTTGGAACGAAGTACTAGATTAATAAATTTAAAATTGGAAACCCGAAATTTCAACACAAGCCGGTGAAATTCATGAGGTGTATTATTTCACGATATGGATTCGTAAAATTTAAGGCACAATCTCAACATTCAAATTGTAATTGATAGACTCCGGCTTTATCTAGTTAAGTAATTTTATCTTTGTTGTTCAGTAACTGATTTCTGGTTGAATTAATTTTTATAAATGAAATATTAACATTTTTATTCACTCTATTTAGTATGTTTTTAATTTTGTAAGATAATGTTTCAATAAAATCCAGAAAATAATATCTACCTATGTCTTCCTTAGTATCATGGTCCGTTTTGAACAACGAGCAACATTGTTTTTTTTTAATTTTGTATCTTATTTTGTCAATTAGATTGTGGATTAATTTTACTTTAAAGTCATTATTTATTGCAATTTGTTTTATGGACTGAAGTTCTTTATTATAGTTTTCATGGTTTAGATTAGAATTGAACAATATTTCAATTAAAGATGCAAAAGTTGATATTTTATGAATCCATAGGTGGTTGGAAGAATTGCAAATAATGTTGTCTGTGTATGTTTTATTGGCCCAATATCTTACAAAATTAAAAACATTCTTGGAGAAATATTAAACACGAGAGGCCAAAAGTTGCTATAAACGAAGTCATTCTTTTCATCTTTAGTACACTTTGACCCCATATGGATTCATACAAAACAACTTTCAGGCTCACAGTCCAAGGGGACATTAAATTAGTAACCCTTGTTTTAAGAATACCAAATCGTCTTTCAAATATCGGCGGATTGAGAAATTAATAAATCAAAGGGACAGATTTATAATTATGTTGTTTACTGTGGAGTATCTACGAAAAAAATCCAAAGACTGTGATTCCAAAAGTTAATTTAAATCAAATAATAGTTTTTATCCATAGCAACATTTGGGTTCATAATTACTGCTCCATTATAATATTAAACTGGTTTTTCAAATTTCGCTTGTTTCTTGGATAAAATAATATAAAATACGAGAGGCCAAAAATTGCTACAAATGTAATTAATGATTATAAAAGAGTATAAGTAATTATTTTCATCTTTAGTACACTTTTGTCACACAAATTCATACAAAACAACTTTCAGGTTCACAACTCAAGCTAAAGTTAAATTAATTGTCGTTGTTTTAAGATTATCAAATTGTGATTCAAATACCGGAAGAAAGAAAAACAAATCTAAGAAACAATTTCATGGTGATACTATTAACTGTAAAGTACCCATGAAAAAAATCTAAAGAATGCGATATCAAAAGTTACTTTATATCAAATAATACATTTCATGCATAGTAACATTTGATCTTATAATTACATGTTTCGGAATAATGAGCTTCATATCTATCATTTCAAGTACAATTTTTGTTTTTGGAAATGAAATTCCAAGTGATTAGAAAATAAAACAGAAGCTCAAAAATGTATGGAAACGATGCATGACGTTCCAAGATATTAATTCCTAACATTTAAAGCACACACTTAAGCAAATATCCAGATTGGCTCCATAAGTAGAAAAATAATTTAAGAGATTAACAAAAACTTGTACTGCTAATTGTAGAAGTGCCTGTACACACAACCATAAAAGTAAATTTCTTACTCCAACTTAAACTGGTATTTTAAAATTGACATGTACGCCTTTCTTGGAGAAATATAAAAAGAGAGGTTAAAAGCTGCTAAAAAATAGTAATGTTTCTTTTTTCGAAATCGCGCAGTAATGTGCTTTTTCTATGTTCAAAAATCGGCACAGAAATTAAATGCGGTGTTGTCATATTAGTATTATCTACCTCCACAATTACATTTTACAAGGTTATAAATTGTTTTTCGGTTTAGCAGTAATTCTATACTCTTTGATAACCCTTTTTATTAGTTATTAGAAACACATCCGGTTTATTAATTTTATAAATATAATTTATTAACTAAATTTGCGCGTAATCTCGCAACGTCGCAACCTTGCATGGCAACAGCGGATTTCTTGAAGTGCAGCGACATTCTATGGCAGCGAACAATGTGTATCCACATAACCTGTAATAAGTTTTTGTTCGGTGCAGAAACAACCATGGAAATCATTATATGGAGAATATCTCATTTTGCATACGAGTATTTCGCTGAAAAAGAAAATTCTGTGAAATCAACATTTTGGGCTACATAGTCGTTGTTAAAGTCAACTCTGTTAATATAAAACAGCATAGATATAATCTAAGTACACCAAGTTCTCAAGCAAAAAATATAGGTTATGTTTCCCAGAAATCAAATATATTTACAAGAGAAAACTTACGAAAATTTTTAACAGAGGCCCGTGATTAATGTACCTAATGTCAAAGGTAATCTCAAAGAAGGTCAATCACATTGTCTATAAAACATAATGTTTTAGATATATTTTTTATTCGAAGTTTCAGGAGTATGAGGAAAGGAAGAATTTGAACAATTTTTTTGTATCTACATAATCTATAATAAGCTTTTATTATTATTACAGAACAGATTATTAGCTTACATGCCCATTTTAAATGAAAGTATGAAGCATACCTCTTATTTTTCGGCACTTTTAATATTTTTGCTTGCAGAAAGATCTGCAGCAATTGCAAAATAGAGATGGATAGCAATAATAACAAGCAGTTTACATGCATTCGACCGAACTTGCAAAAACTGGCAGATAATATATCAAATTTATTACCTAAAAACTCAGCCACAGTTTATGAAAAGCGGTATGAATTTTTTTTTTTTGCGCAGAAACAACCATGCAAAATATATGGAGAACACCTCATTGCATACGAGTATTTCGCTGAAAAAGCAAATTCTGTGAAATCTTTAACACTTTGGGCTGCATAGTCGTAGTTAAAGTCAACTCTGTTAATAAAAAACAGCATAGATATATCTAAGTACACCAAGTTTTCAAGCAAAAAATATAGGTTACATTGCCAAGAAATCAAATATATTTACAAGAGAAGACTTACCAAAATTTTTAACAGAAGCCCGTGATTAAATGTACATGATGTTAAAGGTGATCTCAAACAAGGTCAATCACATTGTCTATAAATCATTATGTTTTAGGTTTATTTTTTATTAGAAGTTGTAGGAGCATGTGGAATGGATAAATTGAAAAATAATGACGGCATTCAAGACAAAAACGATACGCTAATAATTAAAATTCCAACGTCTAAAACTGGCAAAGCACGAGAATTTACAAATATGTGTAAAAATATTTATCCAATTGAAATATAGTAAAAATACCTAATTTTAAGACCGCACCATACACCAGACAAATCATTATTTATACATTACATTTGGATAGTGAATGCAGCAGCAGCTGCATTGTACAAATATACCTGCAAACACACTGTAACAAATTATGCAGACACCTCTTTTGACTAAAAGATATATATTTAACTTTATCCATACGTTGTCAACTTTGTTAATAATTGCAATCTCTAACTTCATAAGAAATATGAATAATCTACTTTGGTGTTTTATAGTAGTATTAAATGTTCATAGAATATAATTGCACTTACTACGAAGTAAGCTTTCCTAGTTTTAAGTTGTTTTCTTTTCTCTTTGATTATCTTAATTTCTTCAGCCTCTATGTGGCTGTTTTAATTCCAAAAAATTGTTTCTGAATAAACTGATTCATACCACTTTTTCTTTCTTTTACTCGAAAACAGTTTAAACTATAACTCCAAATATTTACCTACTTTACAACGTGTCAAGCATTCGGTTGTTGTAAATGATGCAACCATAAATACAAATTTGAACACTGATATGACAGGTTTGAGGCTAGGATGTGGTTTTCATATACTCCCATTACTTGTTGCCTAAATCTGGCGCGAGGCCAAAAGTTATTATTGACGTATATATATATATATATATATATATATATATGTATATAATCCCGGAACTTTGGCACGGTCGGCACACTATGGCAACACTGTAGTAGATCAAACGCATAAATTAGTCAGTTTCGCACATAAGGAAAATACGGCATAGTTCAGCCCCTCGACGATAGATGGCCAAACAAAATTTAATTATATTTAAAAGGCACTTTGGCATTTATATTTAAAATGTTATAATTAATAAAGTTTGCGGTAAGTTTCAACAAAATTGTAAATCCAAAAAACAAAAGGATTTGTGTTACGTATAAGAATATTCTAAGTACGTCACCCCTAGAATTACTTTTTTAAAAAATAAAACATTTCGACACAATTGTTTGTATCTGGAAATTCAAAGTGGTTTTAGATGTTCCAATAGCCCAAGTCAAGCGGAAATTGAAACCTTTAACAAATAGAAAATACTAGGGAAGTAAAGGCATTATTTGTTGTCTTTATTTCGCATTTTGCTAACAGTGACCGGGACTAAAGTGTGTGCCAAACTACCTATTGTATGCGTTCGGTACGCATTTAACAGGGAGTTTCGCATGACATTTATTTTCCCCCAAAATTTTAAATCAAAAAGGAAGTGATTTTTAAGAACAAAACACTCAATGTTACTCATAAGAATATTCTAAGCACGCTGATTATACTGTATTTGCTTAAAAAACTAGGAATTTCTATGGGATAGATTGTATCTGGGTGTGCTAATGGTTTTCGATGTTCCAATAGCCCAATTCAAGCGGGAATTAATATTACCTACAAGATATTCCTAATATAAATACAAAATTTGACAACAATCGGTGGCTCGTAGATTATCTGTATCATAATTCATAAAAATCCGGGACCGCAGACAGATGTACAGACAGACGGCCAGACAGACAGAAACGGGACACCTTCGTACTGTAGGTGTCACGGAAGGTAGAGAAAACGTAAAAGTAGAGAAAACCGCTTTTTTTAGATTTACAGTTTTTGGAAAAATACAAATCATGCGAAACTGCCTGTTAAATACGTACCGTATGCATGCAACAGGCATTTTGGCACAAACTTATTTACCTGACAGTGTCAGCAAAATGCGAAAATTATGACAATTAATGACGTTTTTAGTTTCCAAGTATGCCACTCTTGCTGAAATTTTAAATTTTCGCTTGAATTGGTCCATTACACCATTAAAAACCTCTAATTAGTTTGTCCAATAAATACGTAAATCCCTGGCAATTTAAGCAAAATGCTAAAGTAGTGAAACTTAATTTTGTTTTTACTTCCCTAATCACTTCTGTTTGCTAAAGATGTCAATTTCCGACTGAGTGGGTCTGTTAGGACATCAGCACCCACTTAACATGTCCAGACACAATTCATAATGTAGAAATATACTATTTTATTAATAACAAAACATATACAGCATAATACTTACACTTAGCTTGCTCAGAATATTCTTCCGCGTAATATAAAGTCTTTTGTTGTTAAAAATTCCTTTTTTTAACGATGAAATATTTTAGGAAAAAATAAAAATCATGCGAAACTGCCTGTTAAATGCGTACCGTATGCATGCAACAGGCAGTTTGGCACCCAAGATAACTGTCAAGGTCATCAAAATACGAAAATTATTACAATTAATTTTAGCCTTACTTCCCTAGTATCTCCTGTTTGTTTAAGATGTAAATTACAGTTTGTATTAGGCTATTGAAACATTAATAAACAGATTATTACGTTCAAATACATTACTTACTGCAGAAGTTGCTTGTTTTCGAAAAAATTAAGTAAGTACTGCAGTATGCGTATGGTACGCAAGCGGCAACAGTTTGACACACACGTTAAAATCTATCAAAATATCATGGTCAGCAAAATGCGAAAATTCTGACAATAAATGACGTTTTTAATTTCTAAGTATATCACTTTTGCTGAAATTTTTTGTTTTCGTTTGAATTGGACCATTACACCATTAAAAACCTCTAATTAGTTTGTCCAATAAATACGTAAATCCCTGGCAACTTAAGCAAAATGCGAAAGTGGTGAAACTTAATTTTGTTTTTACTTCCCAAACCACTTCTGTTTGCTAAAGATGTCAATTTCCGACTGAGTAGGTCTGTTAGGACATCAGCACCCACTTAACATGTCCAGACACAATTCATAATGTAGAAATATTCTTTTTTTTTAATAACAAAACATAGACTGCATAACACTTACACTTAGCTTGCTCAGAATATTCTCACGCGTAATATAAAGTCTTTTGTTGTTAAAAATCCCTTTTTTTAAAGATGAATTATTTTAGGAAAATATAAAAATCATGCGAAACTGCCTGTTAAATGCGTACCGTATGCATGCAACAGGCAGTTTGGCACCCAAAATACCTGTCAAGGTCATCAAAATACGAAAATAATTACAATTAATTACACCCTTACTTCCCTAGTATCTCCTGTTTGTTTAAGATGTAAACTCCAGTTTGTATTAGGCTTTTGAAACATTAATAAACCGATTATTTCGTTCAGATACATTATTTACTGCAGAAGTTGCTTGTTTTCGAAAAAATTAAGTAAGTACTGCATATTGCGTACTGCACGCAAGCAGCAATATTCTAACCATTTTTGACACACACGTTAAAACCTATCAAAATATCATAGTCAGCAAAATGCGAAAATTATGACAATTAATGACGTTTTTAGATTCCAAGTATGTCACTCTTGCTGAAATTTTAAATTTTCGCTTGAATTGGACAATTACACCATTAAAAACCTCTAATTAATTTGTCCTATAAATACGTAAATCCCTAGCAACTTAAGCAAAATGCTGAAGTAGTGAAACTTAATTTTGTTTTTACTTCCCTAATCACTTCTGTTTGCTAAAGATGTCAATTTCCGACTGAGTAGGTCTGTTAGGACATCAGCACCCACTTAACATATCCAGACACAATTCATAATGTAGAAATATACTTTATTTTTAATAACAAAACATATACTGCATATTACTTACACTTAGCTTGTTCAGAATATTCTTACGCGTAATATAAACTCTTTTGTTGTTAAAAATCCCTTTTTTTAGAGATGAAATATTTTAGGAAAAAATGAAAATCATGCGAAACTGCCTGTTAAATGCGTACCGTATGCATGCAACAGGCAGTTTGGCACCAAAGATACCTGTCAAGGTCATCAAAATCCGAAAATTATTACAATTAATTACACCTTTACTTCTCTAGTATCTCCTGTTTGTTTAAGATGTAAATTACAGTTTGTATTAGGCTATTGAAATATTAATAAACCGATTATTACGTTCAAATACATTACTTACTGCAGAAGTTGCTTGTTTTCGAAAAAATTAAGTAAGTACTGCATTATGCGTACGTACGCAAGCAGCAACAGTTTGACACAGACGCTAAAATTTATCAAAATGTCACAGTCAGCAAAATTCTTTTTTATTTTATTTTATTTTATTCAAATGAGAAAATTATGACAATTAATGACGTTTTTAATTTCTAAGTAAATCACTTTTGCTGAAATTTTAAGTTTTCGCTTGAATTGGACTTTTACACCATTAAAAACCTCTAATTAGTTTGTCCAATAAATCCGTAAATCCCTGGCAACTTAAGCAAAATGAGAAAGTAGTGAAACTCAAGTTTGTTTTTACTTCCCTAACCACTTCTGTTTGCTAAAGATGTCAATTTCCGACTGAGTGGTTCTGTTAGGACATCAGCATCCATTTAAGATGTCCAGACACAATTCATAATGCAGAAATATTCTTTTTTTTTTTAATAAAAAAACATATACTGCAAAATACTTACACTTAGTTTGCTCAGAATATTCTTACGCGTAATATAGAGTCTTTTGTTGTTAAAAATCCCTTTTTTTAACGATGAAATATTTTAGGAAAAAATAAAAATCATGCGAAACTGCCTGTTAAATGCGTACCGTATGCATGCAATAGGCAGTTTGGCACCCAAGATACCTGTCAAGGTCATTAAAATGCGAAAATTATTACAAGTAATTACACCCTTACTTCCCTAGTATCTCCTGTTTGTTTAAGATGTACACTCCAGTTTGTATTAGGTTATTGAAACATTAATAAATCGATTTTTACGTTCAGATACATTATTTACTGCAGAAGTTGCTTGTTTTCGAAGAAATTAAGTAAGTACTGCATTATGCGTACTGTACGAAGCAGCAACAGTTTGACACACACGCTAAAATTTATCAAAATGTCACAGTCAGCAAAATGAGAAAATTTTGACAATTAATGACGTTTTTAATTTCTAAGTATATCACTTTTGCTGAAATTTTAAGTTTTCGCTTGAATTGGACTTTTACACCATTAAAAACCTCTAATTAGTTTGTCCAAGAAATACGTAAATCCCTGGCAACTTAAGCAAAATGCGAAAGTAGTGAAACTTAATTTTGTTTTTAATTCCCTAACCACTTCTGTTTGCAAAAGATGTCAATTTCCGACTGAGTGGGTCTGTTAGGACATCAGCATCCATTTAACATGTCCAGACACAATTCATAATGCAGAAATTTTCTTTTTTTTTTAATAACAATACATATACAGCATAATACTTACACTTAACTTGCTCAGAATATTTTTACGAGTAATATAAAGTCTTTTGTTGTTAAAAATCCCTTTTTTTAGAGATGTAATATTTTAGGAAAAAATAAAAATCATGCGAAACTGCCTGTTAAATGCGTACCGTATGCATGCAACAGGCAGTTTGGCACCAAAGATACCTGTCAAGGTCGGTCATCAAAATACGAAAATTATTACAATCAACTACACCCTTACTTCCCTAGTATCTCCTGTTTGTTTAAGATGTAAATTGCAGTTTGTATTAGGCTTTTGAAACTGTTAGAATAAGTATTTTTATTTGTGAATTTAAAGTTTGCTTGTTTTTGTTGGGAGACGAATGACGTCAGACGCTGCAAAGCGGATGCAGGTGTCTCGCTCCCTACTCTTTGTTTTATGTCGTTGGAATGTAGTCGAAGTAAGTCTCTGATTGTCGTCGCAAGAAGACGTTTC